GCAATAGGGAGAACTCCCTGCACACTAAATCAAGACAAGCTTTGTTAGGTAGGGGTGTTTGGGGATTATTTCCTTATCTGGGCCTTCAAATGCCTCCATGTCCCAACAGATATCTTTCTAAGTAGCAACCAAATTATTAGCACATAACTTATGCTTCATTACCATTACTCTGCAATTTAGCAAGATTAAATGTGGATCAGAGTGATTTTTTCGTTTTTTCTAACTAGCATGACCTTAATTATTCTGGTATCTTTTCCCAATAGCCCGTGTCATGGTTTAAAGCCCAGCTGGAGATGAAACACCACACAGCCACTCACTCAACTATGGTGAATAAAACAGAGAGTACAACGGAACTAATAAAAGGGCCTGATATCTTAGGCCTAATGGAGCAAAAACCGTGGGAGAGACAAGGTAAGTGCTCCCTGGGCAAGAAGTGACCAAGAAACATGTTGTGAAAATTTTTGATAAGATAATGTTACCAGGTGATGTGACGTCATGAAGAATGTGTAACCAATGGGAAACTGTTACCAAAAATAGAACCCTATATAAATGCCATATAAGTAAAACCCTATATAAACACCCTGTATACTCAATAAAATTGGCTTCTGATCACAGCTTGGGATGTCCCCATCTCTCCATTGCTGATACTCAGCCCCTTTTCTCTTCCCCCCACATCCCTGTGGAATCAGGAGGAGAACAGAAGGAAAACTTGTATGTTGAGATAAGAACAGATTAATAATTTAAAATAAAGAAAAATACAGTAGTAATGCTCAGTAATAATAACAATGATAATTAAAAGGGGGGAAAAGCCACCAACTGATGCACAATGCAATTGTTCAGCACCTGCTGACTGATGTCAAACCTCCCTTCCTGAACCCAAACCCTGATCCCCCCCTTTCAGGTAACTCCCTCCTGTTTATATACCAGGCATGGCATTCTATGATGTGGAATATTCCTTTGGTCAGTTTGAGTTCCAGATATGCTCCCTCCCAGTTGTTTTTTGGGTTTTTTTTTGCATTCAGAGCATGAGACAGGGAAAAATGTCCTTGATTTAGAATAAACTTGATTTTGCAATAAACCAAACCACCAATGTGTTATCAACACCATTCTCATTTCAAATCCAAAACACAGCACTGTAACAGCTACTGAGAAGAAATTAATTCTACGCTAGCTGGAACCAGAACACCCTGTTCAGGATACCCCAGGACATACTGGAGATGATGGGTTCCAGCAACTTCATTTCTAAGCCTTCATTTTTCCACCAATTTACTGCATTCATTTTCAGCCAATTCTGTCCTATTGTCAAAGATTGCAGCATCTGGAAAATAGGTAATATATGGCAAAAAACATTTACTAAGCATGATGAATTTATTTAGTTGTAAGAGTATCTGGTGAGTTTATAGCAAGGAAATAAACATATTATCACAAGAAGGAAGTTATTTGTGGTCTTTTTTTCTCTTCAGTGCAAAAAAAAAGTTCTCTGTATACCTTATTGCTGGTAACATTTTTTTTTCCTTTAGCAGCAAACATGAGGCATATTATTCAATTTAACCTGTATTTTTGGTTTGTGTGAAAGTCTTAAGAATTTTTGCAATGTCATAATTACCTAGACTCTAATATAATTCTGTTTTCTCAGTTAGATTTTCCAATGCCAAGTTTTCTTGCCAGATTTGTAGGTACCTAATGTGGCTCTGAACTTTCCAGTGGCCTCTTGTTAACTCCTTGCAACCACCTATTTTATCTAGGGCTCATGTTCCCCTCAAAAGTCATGTCCTGTAACAGGAAAAAAAAAATTGTGTGCAATTATTTACAGCTCATCCTTCTGGTCCCCCATATTTTAGTGAATCGCATCAACATCAGAAGTGCTTGTTGCCACATTCTCCTATTGGGGTCGAGGGTGGTCCCCAACAATCCTTTTCAGGGTTCACAGATATTAGGGCTAAAGTGGCAAAATAAAGGAAGAGTGGTACAATGACTACAACTTAGTAACACAGAACTCTTTAAAAATAATGAAAGTAAACGTGGGACAAGGCCCAAAAAGCCAAATACAGCAACCAAAGGAACAAGGTCTCTTTAGGAACCAGTAGTCAAAGACCAAGATGAAGGGAGGTCCAGGGTATAAATATGGGGTAGGAGAGGAGGTGGAGTTGAGGTTAGGGTCCAATGGGTATAGGGGAAAGTGGAGCAGGGGTAGAGTAAGGGAAGGTGGGGTCCAATGGGGTAGGTTGGGTGGGACATTACATCAACTGAGGGCCAACGGGGATACAAGGAAGGGAGAATATTCTAAGAATTGGGAGTTGTGTAAATTAGCTGGGAAATGAGGGTTAGGAATACGTATGAGGTATTAACATAGGCAATCATATAACTTTTTTTTTCTGGGGTCACCACAACTTAAACAAATGCCTCCCAAGGTTTAGCACTGGGATACAACATGTCTTTGGTGATGGTTGCCTGACCTGGAATACTGGTAAGGCTGATTACCACATTTTCTCATCTTTGAAGTTTGCTTGTTTATTCCTTTCAGTGTCACTTCAGTGCTCAGTCAGTAAAGATCAGCTTTTTTTGGTGAGACTAGAGAAAAAAACCTTTCTGTGTAGGGAAGGGAACTATTGGAAATAAAAAGAAAAAAAAATCTATATGAAAATACAAAATTAATTAGTAAGTATCTGAAATAAATAATTTTAATTCAGCATTGTCATCACAGAAAATAGTTCGTGTTACCTAAATGAAAAAATTTAGCTGATCTATAGACTTTCTGGAGTCAAGAGAAAGAAGGTCTTTCCTTGTGTACTTCAGAAGACACCATAAATCACCCACCAAATTATCCTTTTTTCTGCTCAGTGAAGGCAGAGACCAGTGATGGTAGCTGGTCAATTTAGCTCTCAACAAATGGTTGTGGTGAGATGCCTTTCCCTTCAACTCTAAGGATACTGAAGAGGAGGGGAGTTATGGAACTTAATGGTGGAACAAGAATCACAGATGAAGGAGGCTTGAGATGTTGCTGCTGGATACTTAAAAGAATTCTTTATGGACGTGTGTAAAGTGCAGACTGCTCTACACTCCAGTCTCATTGGTGACATACACAGGGAACAGTCCCTACCATTACTGTATTTTCATATTTGGTGGGAGAATCCAAATGCACATGACTGCTCTCCCCTGATCTGGCAAGCCCTGAAAGTTTGAGAATGACTCTGTGTGCATTCCAAGTAGGTCCAGAGGCCACAGAGTAGCAGCAACATTTGGGTACAGTGAAGAATCATTCACTTGCCTACCCACATACCAACAAAGTACTACAACTCCATCACCTCTGAGGTCTGAGGGCTGCATTTCATAGCAAGTATGTATAACCCCTTGACACGGTTCACCGTTTCCCACTCAGACTAGGACAGCCTCACTAGCTCTGGGACGAACCTGTGCCAAGAGTGGCCTCTTCCCAAGATCCAGGAAACTGAAGATAGAGGTAGAGCTCCAAGCTCTTGCTGTGGCGGCACCAGTCTGAAGGAGAGTCCTTTTGTAGATCCAAGGGTAGGGTTTATTGGAAAGGGATAGAAAAACAACTAGGGTCGGGCAGGAGGAACCACAAAAAGCAGGGAGAACGCTTGTACAACAACTTAAATAGGGGTCCTCCCACATGGGAGGGTAAAACTTGCCAACAAATCAGAGTAGCCCGGGGGTGTAACACAAGGCAGGGCTACAACTGCACTTAACCAATAAGGGAAGAACATAGGCGGAGACCACACAACATAGCCAATGGTATGCACAGGAGGGGATGAAGGACAGTGAACATTCTGGAAGAAAGGGAGGGACCAAGGGGGATTGACATCTGTGTGGGATGGGATTAGGGTGACAGGCAGGGAAGAATCTGGAACTATAGGAGGGCTTTGGGGATAACAGACAAGGGTGGAGGCGGGAAGGGGAGAGACTAAAACATGTTGAACCAGGGGGTACAACCTAGGAATGAACCATTGTGAAACTGGGTATAACCTGAATTAACACAAAATAAAACAACACACCATGACAACCCCTGATCTCATTTCACTATTATAACAGAATACAACAGCAGCCACTCAGCAAGAGCAACCACTTTTGTAAGCTTTAATTCTTGTTCTTCTAGAATTGCAGCATGTTGATCCTCCATTTTAGGCATCTGTGGAAGTATGATACACTGCACTGAAACAGTGCAGAAAACTACCACGCTGTAGAGACAAGTGTCTGTAACCTTATTTTATGTCATTAAGGGCTATTAACCAAGAAGAAACAAAAAAGAATAGTCATCATCCTTTCACTAATTGTCTCATGAGCAGAAAATTTACAATGCAAGACGACAAAGGCTCCTAAAATATTAGCTATTTTTGATACAAGATTAAACATTAATAACAGAACATCTCTTAGATGTTCAATTTTCATATGACGACTAAACTCATAGTAGAAATATGCCTTCAGTCCTAACTACAATATCCTATTACACTAATGACATCGTTGCTAGTAACACAGAAGATACTACTAATACATTGTTATTGTGTCACAGATCATCATTCATGTGCAAATCAATTTGCTTGAATCCAGTAAAAAAACATTTAGGATTGAAACATCACTAATTTAATGAGGAACATGTACACAAGATCTTTCCCCAAAAAATCAATGTCTAATTTGTTTGTGGAAAGAGCAGAGGGTGATTAACTGCAGACATATTCTGGAAAATAAATTGCTCTAGCTCAGGATAAAGACATCTTTCTTTTTCTTGTAGGCTCTATCTGAATTCTTTTTTAAATTTATTTTATTTGACATGAGTTCTTGAGGGAAAAGTTCTGTCCACCTGTATACACTACTTTGAATCCATGGCAATGCTTTTATTCGGGACAGAGAGGCTTAGGTGGATTAGAAAAGAGTATTTGAAAGGGGTCCCCTCTCCCACTCACTATACCTCCCTGCTTCTTCACTCTAACTTAAAGTTTCAAGCTACTTACCCCAAACTAGTTTCAGGTAAGTTCACATCTTGCCAAGCACTGTTTTAATTCTCTATCAGCCAGGACAACCTTTTTTGAAGTCACAACTTACCAATGGAACATGACAGCATGTGGCAGCATAACACTGTAGACTACCAGGAGGCACTGTGGAAAAATAGGAGGAAATTTATAATGAAAACTACTTGGTCCTGTGGACCTGCTATCCACACCAGACATGGTTAGGGTTTGTCTGTTTATTCATTTTGGACTTTCCCTCAAGAGCAGAACACGCATTAAATTGTTCCTGGAGGACTTCTGCCAGTGTTTCACCCAAGAGGAATCAATTTCATTCACTTTGAGTCTGCTCCAGGATGCACAGCAAAGTGCAGTAGGTAGGAATAGTCAGGAGATTGATCTAAAAAGAACATGCCAAACATTGGTGCACTGACATCAGCTCAGCCCTTGAACACCAACCTTCCTCCTACTCAGATGCATTCCTGCTTCTGACCAGTAACTTTTGTTTAAATCCAAACCTTAATATTAGATTCCTTTTCAGCCAGGTGTCATGGTTCAGCTCGGTGACTCAGGACCAGGAGTGGCACATAAAATGATCAGGACAGGTGCGATCGAGTAATGCAGAAAAGAACTTTAATGATTGTGGCAGTACCAACAAAAGTGCATAAACCAAACGCTATATAGAGCGACCTTGAAAGACCCCGATAATGGGGTGAACAGAACCTTATATAATCTTATATGAGGGGTAGAGAACCAATTAACAACGAGAATCAAAAACATTATCATATGTGGGATAGGCTGCTAACCAATCAAAACTTGTAACTAAGAACATTACCTTATATGGAACGACCTTATTAACATAACTGTACCCATAATTCCCTGCTTCTTGCCCTAGATTTACCCAGTGTCTCCCTTCTTAGCATCCTGCTTCCCAAGGCCTTAAGTTGATGCTTTTGTCATTGATGAAGGCTGGCCTACCATCCATCCCAATGAGTTGAATTCCCACAGCCAGTGTCTGTCTTTTTGTGTGTATCTTTTTATAACCATTCAAGCTACAAAGGAATCCATTCTGAGTTTGGTCTTCTGGATGCTGCCACACAATAAATACTAGGTAACAAACATGTAGCTGTTTTACAACAGAGACCCTTTTTCAAAAGGGAATTTTAAGTTAAATCATTTGCACTCAATGCTGATTAATGACGGTGTAATGATACTGACGCATTTTTCTTTCTAAGTTTGTTTTCAACAGAACATTATGTTTTCTTAACTCAGGGTAATATATCCCTATATTGATAGTCTACATACACAGTCAACTCAGTCTCTGTCTGCAGAAACACAGGATCCTTGCAGTCATTCCTTCCAACACAGCAAGCCCTGGGCTGTTCAAATCAGTTATACAGCTCAGTTACCAGAATTTTCTACGTCACTTTGTACACATTTAAGCGGTAAAGTTTGTGGAAACAATGGAACTTGTGGCAATATCATAGCAAAAAAGCTCAGCTACTTTAGCATTCAGTATTTTGGTATTCCAAAGTCAAAACTTGATTTAGAATATCAGACATAACAAAGAATCAATCAGCAAATGTTTCTTGGCTGGTCTGAAGGCTTTAAGAAAAGACTAGAAAAAGAAAGAAACAGGTTCATGTCATAGAACATCTGGTACTTGCAGTAGCTATTTTGTGTGGAAAGAATTTTAGGACTCAGTTTAATTACCCCTATCTCATGTCCAAGGATAGTCTACACATGCTCACTGCAATGCCAGACTACTTTCATGGATCCATGGCCTTTCAGAGACCAGATGGGATTCCCTATGGCACCTCCAATAAACACTGATGCAGGCATAACTGAACTTAGCTCCGAGTGAGAACCCTTCCAGACAGAGATCCTGAATGTAGGTATATAAAAGTCACCTAACCTTACATCAAAGAAAACAGGGACTTGATTCAAGAGTCTGAATGGAGAGCAGACACAGACAGATAAAGAATAATGTTAACACTTTTTCACCGATTCTCCCTGGTTCACTATTCAGAGTTTAGCTATGTCAGTATTTTGCACTAAAACTGCACAGCACATGGAAAGCACCTCTGTGTAGGATGCAAGCCTGTGAGCCTGCAATATTATATTGCCCAATTAGATAATGTAGATGACAAATAGTTCAAAATAATATGAGGTTTTGGTTTGGTTTGCTTGTTGTTTTTTTTTTTATTAAGTGCAAAAATAATTAGGGAAAGTACTAACCAGTGTACCATATGCTCCATGATACGTGGAGCAGTTGAGAGCTGTAAGCCTTTTAATATGTAACTTACCTAACAGACTGTACATTTGAAGGTTTACAGAAAGAGGAGATGTTTAGATTGCAGAAGAGGTAATCTACAAAACAGTGCACTGGTTAAATGCATATCCTTAAACTCTCCTTGGATTGCGGAGTCCTCTGCATGTGAATTTCCCACGTGCCCCCGGCCCTTGGGGCACAGCTGCTCTGCAGTTCCCGCACGTCACCGCTGCGAGGCGCCCGCTCACCGCGGCACGCAGCGCAACGCGGCTGGGAACGGCAGGGGCGGCCCCAGGGAGGAAAATTCCAAGTCTTGGAGAAACCGAAACAAAAATAAGCTGGCTCTCTGAATCAGCATCACATTCGCACAACGCGTGCTTTAAATTTGAAATCATCCTCTCCCCCTCTCCCTGACTTTGCAAAAATCAAAGCCAATAGAAAACAATGGGCCGACTGTTTCCAAATAAATTTAATTTCAGACTTGAATTCTAGTTCTATGTTTGTTCTACAAACACTACTAAGCTTCATTTTCCAAGAAGAATAGATAACACTATATTAACTGGTCTTAAAAGTTACCTTGTATGTTGTGGTTGATCTGTGTTGCAGTAAAAAAAATCTAAAAATATTCATTCTGCCTAGAATATATACATGTATATAAAGAGAGGAATCCCAAGCATCTTAGGGCTGAATGGAATTGCCTGCAGCATTAGAAGAGATGTGTTAATTAAGATCAAACTCAGAACTCATACGCCCATAGGTACATACACAGAAACAAAAAAAGCAATTGTTACTTTACCTTCTGAAAACTCAAAGGCCCTAGAGGAGGACAATAAATGTCTCAAAATTCCCAGTTCAAAAGTGTTAAATGCTTCTTCATCTCTTCTAGTTCAAAAAGCTGCTATGTTAAGTCTAGTCATCATCTACCTCTCTCTAGCATGATTGCAACAACATCCTTCAGCAGAATCTTTTTAGGTCCAAGAAAAGAAATCACAGATCCTGGCCTGGGACTTGCAGGTGCATAGATGGCTGTTGTTGCTGGAGTTATCTGGAGGGAGTTAGATGGGCACCAAGAACTATTTCAATGGTATTCAGTCTGCTGACACAGGTGTCAATAATACCTTCTACAACACACACAAAGAAGTATGACCTCAGAAGAAGTATACTGCTTTTAAAATTATCCCAAGAAATATTCCCTTTCAGCCAGGCACCACAAGGACCCTGGCAACTCAGATACCAGGTACTAGCACAACATTATTTGTTAACTCTGCCCCAGAGCAGACTTTCAAAGTTATGGTCAAAATCAAGTGTCACAGCTGCAGACCCCAGGTGGGCCCTCTCTGTAAACTATTCTGTAAGATTAATAGCGCTGACATATTAGGTTAATGTGCCCAGTTTAGCACAAAATGTAATTTCGCCTGAGTTGACTTCTTGCAGTATCAAGAAGTTTACAAAGTCTGTCAGAGAATGGCGAATGAGTTTGAATGGCAGTGTCCCCTTTCATATTTGAGGGTTTTCATTAAAGATAGTCTCCATGTTTTTCACTGACACCCATTTCCTTAGAATATATATCCTTGCATTTCCTCATAACACTGTACTGACAAAGTCTTGGGGTTTTGGTGTGATTTAAGTGTTATGATTGACTGCATTCCTCTACCTCTTTGGATACCAGAGTTCAGGTCTTCTGAGAAAGTAAACTGAAGTTAACCAATTTGAAACCAGCTACCTGAAACTGAGAACTGAATTTTTTGTTTGGTTGTTGTTTGTTTGGGGTTTTCATTGGGTTGTTTTGGTTTGTTTGGTTTGGTTTGTTGGTTTGGGGGTTTTTGTTTGTTTGTTTGTTTTCTGGTGGTGCTGGGTTTGGGGGTTTTTTTTGGGAGTGGGTTAAGGGAGTTTATTAAATTTAGCATTATTTTCATTACACAATCTGTGTTTGGATTGTATCTTATTTTAATGAGTTGAGAGTCACTTTTATGAACCATTTGCTCACCCCTTTCAGAATCTTATGTAAGTGTAATCAGGAGTTTCCTCTCTGCTGAAAGCAAGATGAGCCTTTTTCCTTTGCATTGACAAAATAACTTCAGTTTATACCTAGAAAAAACACCATAGATGGAATCAAAAATTCACTGAGGCTCCCTTGCTAAATACATACAGAGAATGCAAATATGTTGTCATATGTACATGTAGGCAGCTTCAGTAAAATACAAGAAAGAGCACAGATGAAATGCAGGGAAAGTCGCTAGACTAATATTAGCATATATCACCCATATTTACATCTAATGTCTAAATGGAGAAAGTAAACATCATGTTTAATCTAGCACCAGTTTATCCTCTCCCTCTCTCATTCTGCTTTGAAGATCCACTTGCAGTGTCACATCATTTCCAGAAAAAGCTATTGTAACAAACAGCCTGGCTGCAGTGCAAGTATGGCATCATCTAACCCAGCATTTTACAAGACTGGGAAGCAAGCAGACTCTGCAGCACAGCCAGAGCCCTGCATTCCTCTGCACACCTGGCTGCACTGCCTGCCTGGGCCTGGAGACAGGGCAGAAAGCTGCACAAGGGGGCAGGACCAGTCAAGTGCTGTGCTGTGTATTTCCATAGCTGAGTGAGTCAGCCACTCACCATGCAAAGATAACAGAACTGGGAGAGATAAGGAATTACAGGATAAGTGAAAGCTGGAGTTGTCAAAATTGGATAATTTTGCTCTGCACCACACCCTCACTGGCCCCATATTGCTTTTTCTTCTGCTGTGTTACCCCTCGCTCTGGGAAACTGATCCAGCTACACTTTTTTCCCCCCTGAAGTTGCTTCTAGTCATAGCAGTTTCTGTATCTGGCATATCAAATGTCTGTGCTAACACAAAGTGAGAACAGCTTGCCCAAGATGGGGCTTGGATTGGTTTAACTAACACTGGGAAGCTGCACATTGAGGGGTAGGAAGGGACATACAGAAAGGAAAAGCAGAAAAAGCTAATTTTGCTAATAAAAAGAAATTCAAACTAAAATATTTTTCATTAAAATGTCTAATAATTCTGCAGAAAGGATGCACTGCTTTATGTCCTATTTTGGATTTGTAAAACTTGTTATCTAAGAAGTAATTTCTTCTTAAAATTGACCAACTTCTATTAATTTATACCCTCATATATTAGGATTGAGAACTTATTATTAGACTATCCAACATTAGGATGGTGACTGTAAAAAGCATATTGTTTAAAGGCAGAAGGTTTTTTGTCAGGCTCGTGAGTGAATCTGCTAATAAATATTACTTTGAAATATAACTACAGCATTTTTAAAAGCTACATGTGACAGTTTTGCAGATGCAAACATTCTCAGCTTCCATGTATACATGGCAAGCTGTGCACCCAGAGACATACAATGTACTGAAGGCACTTGAAATTTGGCTGATAGGGAAGAAAAATAAAATTCTTGAATAAATCCTAGAAATAACAATGAGGAGGGGGGAAAAAAAAAAACCAAAAAACTCACCTCATTTTTTCAAAACATCTTTTATTTTTTTATCTTCCCACTAAAATAGACAATTTTTTTTCTATACCTAAAATAGGCTATAGTCAACTGATACAAGTACATGGAGTTTCCTATTATACAATGAATCTGTTGAGATAATAAGTACCAGCTGGATCTATCCCCAACAGCAATAACAGTATGTGGAGCATGATTATAATGTAACAGATTGTGAAACAGAAGAGACGGTTTCACTTATTAAAAGGCCCTTATGTTAATACAGTAAAAGAAGAGAGCTCTACTAGTACAAAATGCTTCTAGCAAGGCCTTTATGGTAATACAGTAAATTATTTCAAAGGTGAGTTCTCCAAAAATATTGCCCATGAAGATTTTTAGGAGCTTTATTACACATGCACTTATATGCAAATGTGGGCCCACTGCTGAATGAAACAGTCCGTGGTGAAAGAGGACATTGGAAAAGGCTGATGTACCAAATGCTGCCTTCACCTCAGCCTATTCTAGCAAGTCTGGCATTCAGGACCCCTGTTTGCTGGAGATCACAGGGAAAATCTGTAGCAAGGGATCTTTATCCTTGGTAGGAGATGATGAAGTCAAGAAATACCTGGGCAACTGGATTTACACAGGTCTATGGGCCCTGATGTCCTACGAGTCCATGACAACCTACAAGTTCTGAGAGAGCAGGTAGATGTCATCACAAGGCCACTTTTGATAATCTGATCATGGCAACTGGGGGAAGTATTCAAAGACTGAAGAATATCCCTCCTAAGAATGAGAACTCCAGGAATTACAGTCCAGTCAGCCTCACCTCAGTCCCTGGCAATGTGATGGAGTATCAATTCCCAGAAACCATTTCCAGGCATATCAAAGACAAGAGTGTTAAAGGGGTTGTCAACATCACATCACTCAGGGGAAGTAATGCTTGACACCAAGGACTTAAACTTCTGCAATAAAATGACCAGTCTGATAGATAGAAGGAGACCACTGGATATTATTTACTTGGAAAACAACAAGGTTTTTGACACTGTCTCACATAAGAACCTCATAGAGAAGCTGAACAAGCAATGAGATGGACTGAAAACTGGCTGAACATCCTGGACCAGGGGATGAAAATTGATGGAAAGTTAGCTGAAGAGCAATAATAAGCAGCGTATCCTTAGGGTCAACATTCCTGTACAACATTTTCAATAATGGTTTGGATGATGGGGCAGAGTGTACCCTCAGCAGGTTTGCTGGTGACACTGAACAGGGAGGAGTGGATGATATGATGGAGGGTTGGGCTGCCATCCAGAGGGACTTGGACAGTCTGGAGAAATGGGCTGCCAGTAACCTCATGAAGTTCAATAAGGGTAAGTGCAAAGTCCTGCATCTGGGGAGGAACAACTCTATGCACCAATGTATGTTGTGGGAAATAGCCTTGAGGAAAAGGACCTAGGGGGTTCCCCGTGGACATCAGGTTGACCATGAACCAGAAATGTGCATTGGCAGTAAAGAAGGATAGTGGATTCCTGGACTACATTAGGAGTGTTGACAGCAGGTGGAGGGAGTTGGTCTTTCCCCTCTTTTCAGCACTTGTGAGGTAATGCCTGGAGTTCTGGCATCCCCAGTGCAAGAGACACATGGGCATATTGGAGAAACTCCAGTAATGGATCACTAAGATAATTAAGGGAATGGGACATATTTCCTATTAGGAAGGGTTGAGAGTGGTTGTTTTTTTCTATGATTCTATGTTTGGCCTAGAGAAGTTTCAAGATGGATCACATATATGTGTACATATATCTGGAGGGAGGGTGTAAAGGTGACAGAGCCAGGCTCTTTTCAGTGATGCCCAGTGAGAGGACCAGAGACAATGGGCACAAACTGGAAGTAAAGAGACTCTCTGAACACAAGGAAATGCTTTTTTGCTGTAAGAGTGACTGAGCACCAGCTGAGGTTGCCCAGAGATGTATAGTCTCCCTCCTTGGAGACATTGAAAAGCCATCTGGACATGGCCCTGAGCAACTGGCTGTAGGTGATCATGCTTGAGCAGGTGAGTTAAGCCAGATGACCTCCAGAAGTCCCTTCCAGCCTCAGCCATTCTGTGATTCTGTGAAAACTTACACATGCTATGCCTTGCAATTGCTTTTAGCAGGCAAGAACATGTACACAGGCAAAGCTAAACATAATGCATGAGGAGTTGGCAAGCAGAGACACAGAAAACCATTCCAAATGTCAAGTAGCTTAAAGGCAGATCTGTGTTCAGCAATGAGTAAAAATGCAAACAGTTTAAATTACTTGACAAGGAAATTTTTTGTTTAAATCTCTCATGAACTGAGTTTTTTTCTTCTTTAGGCTTTCCAAAAGCCATTCTGCTGAGCAGCATTTACCCTTGATTTTGAGATCTTTAGAGCTATTACAGTTTTTTGACAGATTTTGCAGTTGTGTGTTTAGCCGTAGCTCTTGCTACGTTCCAGAGCAAAGATTTTCTGTCTTGCTATTGGCAACTCCTAAGATGTCACTGTTTCTATGTGTTTTCCACTACTAAAATATATTTTCAGATTTAGTTTTCTTCGCCTAAAGGCGATGCCCAAGCAGTCAAGTGGAACATCAGCTTGGGGAATAATTGGCCTGTTTGCCAAGTGTCTGCATACCAGTCCCCATCCAAGATGGGCTGCTGACCGCCAAGAAAATTCAGTCACACTCTTGTTGCTGATAGTTCAAGTTGAAAAGAGCCACCTGCTGTCAGTTTGCATGATTTTGTTTTTCTAAACAAGGTTCACAGCATTTGGTGCATTCTTTTTCCAAAAAAACTCCAGAAGCATTTTTACTTCCTAGTACTGATATAATAAAGCAGCTTAAAACAGGCTTCTTAATAGCATGTTTTGCAGAAGGCAATTGCTCTCCCAAGGATTTAGTAATTTCTGAAGAAAATCTATACATTTTGATTATTTTAATGATATGTTTAAGATCTTAATGTCCATTCCCGAATAAACAAAATTTTCTACGCTATATTGTACTCATATACAACTCACATCTCTTTGAAATGTGACATCACACCTGGGATGTTTAGTCACTATTCTGTTGATGTATAGAAAATTGCACGGAAAGGCTTATTGGGCTTGAAATATCAGAAAATCCATGGAGGAAACAAGAATTTCTTTCTCACTCTGCAGTTGCTGTCTCATTTTTAAGTTGTCTTTTGATACTGGTACAGTAACAGCACCTGCCATAGAGGCCTACTGTAACCAAAAATTTCTAACATTCAAACAATCAGAAGTGGCATATCCATTAATTTATAAATACAATTGAAATAAGTTTACAGAGACAAATATTTCATTCCAGAAAAGACATGTCAGTTCTAGAGATTACTTACTGGCTAGTGACGATGTTTTCCTGTGATAAAAGTACATTTTTGATGCAATAAGGTTTGGTCACATGCACAGAGGTTCCTGTAAGTCCTGAAAAGAAAGATTTCATTCACTCACCTCACATTACAGGCTTTGTATTTGGAGTAACAACCTCCAAATGTAAACAGGAATACATGTGCTCCCAGAACTTGGGCTTGAAGGCAGACTACTCAAAATGGAATAATAAAGACACTGAATTTGGATTATTTATAATAGTTTAAGTAGGATTAGACAGGACAGAGCATCACATTCTCAAGTCTTCCATTCTCTTTGGAACATGCTAACCATTGCCAGGAACTCAGGGCTGCCTCATGATCAAAGAGGATGAAAAAAGAGAAAAGAGACAAAAAACTCTCATGCAATTTCAGCATATCTGAAATTTACTCTATAGTTAACATAGCTCTTTAATGCACGAGTAGTTATCATGTGTGGATACCATACCATTTTCCAAAATTCAGCTGCTTTTTTTAGTCTTGTTCCTACCTTAGGAGAAGATTCACTTTTTAATTTTCTTTACAAAACTATTACTTCAAAATTGAAGGATTTTGCAGCAGTATCTTCAGACAAAATACCTTCTCCACAACTAAGTTATCATCTCAGAATTTTTTAGGCAGAGACATGCAGCACTGTAGCTAATGGAGAAATCCAAATAAGTTTTTCAGGCCTTCTCAGAAGGGCAGTCTGCAGAGGAGGTCTCCAGCACACACTGACACTCATCACGCAGCCTTTCCTCATATAAAGAGGAATAACATGTAATGCATATATACAGAATGCTCATAAAGCATTTCCAGGTTAGCTTACCTAGGGAATTACAGCTTGGAAATCCTTTTCAGGCCTGGATTTCTCCTGACTCTCAGATCCATTCCCAGGCTGAGAAGCTGACTACAGCTTCAGTTAGGGAGGAAGTCTCCCAGGGTGATAATATGGTGAAAAACAGAGTGGAATTAATAACAAAGATTAACACCTGGTGTCTTTCCCGTGGGATACATCCTGAGGTACTGTCCCAAGGATGTTTTTCCCAATTGTCCAACGAACTACTGTCCCGTCCTAGCTGCATGTAACACACTTTAAATACGAGTTGTCTGTACAATAAAGTTGGCCTTTTCCCCCAAAAGAAGTCCGTGTGTGTTACTGATTTTTCTCTCTCTTTGCAGCGCAGTAACCACACTTACCTCCCCCTGAAACAGCTCAGCCCACATAGACAAGGTGCCAAGCACTTAAGTTGCAAATCTTGCAGAAAAGACAAAACAGACATGGGAAGCATTGCTGCCCATCAGCTGCAGGCACACAGGCACATCCTCAGAGCAGTCCAGTTCTCATTGCTGAAGTTCCAGCAATTACAGTCCTTCAACTGCCTTCCTCTTCATCCTGCCTTTCCCCTCCCTAATTTCTACCCTGACTATATGCAATTATACCATCTGTCTGTAACATACACATGCTCCTGTTGGAGCACATTGCAATACTCAGGCACAAACTGGTATCAGAAATATTAGGAAGACAGCCTTGATTTCCCCATATCCCCATATCCCAAAGCCTTGTTAACCCATCCATATTATTCTCCAGATGGTTTTAGGTGTCTTTAAAATGTAGCAGATATTTTGGATACAGGTAAGAACCTGATATTTTGTCAACATATAGATTATGATAGGTCAGTTTGGGTTCAAAGGGACCTTTTAAAGGTCTTCTAGTCCAACCCCCCTGCAGTGAGCAGGGTCATCTTCAACCAGATCAGGTTGCACAGAGCTCTGTTAAACCTGACCTGAATGTTTTCACAGATGGGTAATCTACCACCTCTCCGGGCAGGTATTAGATGTTCCAGTGTTCCACCACCCTCACTGTAAAACATTTCTTCCTTATATCTAGTCCGAATCTATCCTTTTTTAGTTTAAAATCATTACTCCTTCATTCCAGTCACTACAAGTCCTGTTAAAAAGTTTCAGCACTGAAAAGCCACAATAAGGTCCTCCTGGAGCCTTCCCTTCTCCAGGCTGAACAACCCCAACTCCTTCAGTCTTCCATCATAGCAGAGGTGTTCCATTCTTTTGTGGCCCTCCACTGGACCTGCTCCAATATGTCCATGTATTTCCTGTGATGAGGGCTCCAAAACTGAAGCCAAGTCTAAATTATAGTGGAGTAGATGAACAGAATGATCTGATCTGGCTACAAGGCGGATCAGGCAGGACAAGTCCTTGCTGAAGCCACGGTGGAAGTCCCAAATCACCTCCCTGTCCTCTATGTGCCTTAACGTAGCTTGTAGGAGCATCTGTTCCATGATTTTGAGTAAATCAGCCTTCTCCTTGTCCCTTGTTACCCATTTGCCAGCTTTGCTCATCATGGAGAGGGGAGGACGCTTTCTTTGATCTTCCTTTTCTGGCTGACTACCTATATGTGGCTCATCTCTGTAAAGCTTTAAGTGCTCCAGTGTAGCCAGCAGATCTCAGAGCAACAGGCTGAGAGCTCTCACCAGCACCCTTTCCCTCTAAGCTTGGTGTAATATCCCACATCTTGTCACATTCAGTCCTAGTATTATCCCCCTCCCCATTCAAGTCTAGCTTAAAGTTCTGTCTCTGAGCCCCATTAGCTCATGAGGAAAGACCTCTCTTCCCCCTTTGAGAAATGTGAATCCCATCTGACACCAGGATGTCTGGTGCTGTGTAGGCCACCTCATTATCAAAAAATCCAAAACTGTTTGTAGCACCAGTCCTGGAGCCATGTTTTAATGGTATGGTCCTGTCTGTTTCATCTCATGCAGCTGCCTGAAACTGGAAAGATAGAGGAAAGAACCACCTGTGCTCCAGATGCCATTACCAACCATGCCAAGGCCCTGAAGTCTCTTTTGATTACCCTTGGACTACACATTGCAGGTCCATCAGCACCCATATGGAACAGCAATAATAGGTAGCAGTTCAAGGTTGGGAAGTTTCCTGGTGATGTCCTTAACATGGATCCCAGGGGAATAGGCCTTTGACAATCAAAGGAGACCATAAATGTGCCAAATATACTGTGCTTGCTTCAAGCCATGTTTGCCCCAGCCCCCTACTCATCTGTAAAGGTGTGTGGGCAGCTTATTACTTACCACATCTTAGATGAAAGGGAGACCCAAGACCAGCTCAAAGTAATGATCAGCAGGCAGAATCAGCCTGTCGAGTGAAAAATATAAGTTCTCATTATGAATACAGATCATTTGATTATAAAGAACAAGATTCCAGAACTGTTTTCTTCAGGTATTAATTCTTATGACATAATTTTAAGTAGTAATTTTCTCGTATTATTTTTATGCTTTCTTTTTTAATTGTATTTTGTTCTTTGTATTACTGTGAATTAAATCTATCACTCATTTATGACAAGAAATGAAGCATATAAAATAAAAATATCTAATCTCATCTGACTGATGTTTCTAGCACTAATGGCTAGGGAAAGAATTGCTCTCACCCTGTCTTGCAAAACCAACTGCTTTCAAGACTTTATTTGTGTGTATTCCACATGTTCTGCATGCTTGTTGTTTGGCCAGAATGTGAGTATATCTAAAGATTACTGAGTGAAGGTCAGATTAGCATAATGTCTGTTCCATGGTTTGGACCAATGTTCTTCCCTGTATGTGTTTCTCCTTGGAATGAAATATGCCATTTTGCAACAAAAAGCTGGAAGTGCTAAGTTCACTTTTTTTGTGCTGGGCAAAAGTTGAAGATTGAAGTAAGCATTCAATTTGTTCAAATTCTCCAGACCATTATACCAATATCAGTCTTAGTCAATTTATCACTATTTTTCTTTCTTAAGTATGTATGAAGAGGTCAATAACTTTAACTGAACTCTCATCTTTGAAAAATCCAATTTATTCTAATAAGAATAAATGCTATGTCATCAACATGCAGTATTCTGTAAGTACGTATTTTTAGCAGTTTTGTGAAAGGTATTGATTGGGTACATCTGACCAATTCCATGTTTCTAAAATCGCAGCACATTTCATTTATAAAATGATATTTCAGAAAATAGGTGACCTTCACAGAGCAAGCAGTGTTTTTTAAACTATTTAAGTGTGCATCTATGAGTTGTTTTTTGAGGTTTTTCTGGTTTTTGAGGTGTTTTTTTTGTAACCTTGGCAGCGTAGAGCATGCTTTGAGAAAGAAAAAAACAAGAGTTACCCACTGATATAATTTTATAAATGCATACTGCCTTTTTCACAGGGTCTCCAACCTAAATTAAGCATACAAATTGGATGTAGTAAATTAAGGTAAACAGTGAGAAGGGACTGAAACGAAGGACAGATTGTGCTGGTACAGTGCAGCGAAAGATTATGTGTGAAACAAATATTGGTATAGGCTAAATTGACAAAGACTGCAAGATATATAGCTGAAGACAGAAGAAAAGCAGAAACATAATGTATAAAATATTAACATACAACCCTGAAACTCCAAACAGCAGCAACAGCAATTTACTTGACTATCCTAGGTGAATAATAAAAAGAACACCACTGATAACTAGCTAAGTCAGCTCTATGCCCTTGTCTCCACAAGGACACAAGGCAGGCAGGGATCCAGCTGGAAGTGGGACAGCCCACAAGAGAGCCTTCAGCCCATCATGCCACAGGAGCTTGAACTACTGTCAAGCAGCTCATTTAGATGAAGGGGGGACATGACTGCTTTCAGTAGGTCAGCAATTTGCATTCTTCCCATTTATTTATGTGTGCCTTTTACTTACGCACACTTTCAGAGCATCAGAAATATGAAGGAGCTCTTGCTTCAACCACCACGCCTTTCTGGAGTGACCCACACCAAATGGCAACTTTCATAAATGCCCATCAGGTCTGAGGGCAGGACCCTCTCAGCTCAGAGCTCCAGGCACACCAGAATTAACTGAACTGGGACTTCTGCTGTGATGAAATAATGTAGTAAATCATGAAACCATTGGGATGGCTCACTAGAGGAAAATATGATACAGGTCTACATCATAATCAGACAGTGTTAGAACTAAAACATTGGATAATATATATATATATAGTATCAAGGAGCAGGAAATTAAAGGTAATTATCCTAATAAAAAGGAATATAACTTTTGCTTTTAGAAATCTTGTTTAAAAAACACAGCATTTTTTATTTTCTACTGTTTAGAAATAAGCAAGTTTATTCACTTCATAATACAAAGCGTTGAGAATGCCAACTACATACCTAGACAATTATGCACTTCTTTGTCTTTGCCAATTGGACTAAGGAAGGCCTACCATGTATCTGCAGCAGAAACAGTTGCAAATTAGGCTACTCCATATACCAACCACAAATATTATTTCTTTAGGAACATCTTATCAGGACAACCAGTACACAGTATGAAAGACTGTTTTAAAGAAATAATCAGCAGGTTAACATTGCAGTACAGGCTGCCATGAGAAAGCTCTTCAGGTACCTGTGACTTGCATGAAGAATAAAGAATTCTAACAGTACAACCTAGGACAGGATCAACATTTTCTTTCAATCTGTCTGATACTGAGATGGATCCTCAAGAGAAAATGTCTCCTTGTTGTCCAAAGACACCAACTGCTGCAAATGAAACTATGCCCAAGAAAAGTCCATCTTAAGTATCAAGGGCAGCTTGTGCATGCAGCATTAGTGCACTTCAACACAAGCAAAATAAATTGTTTGTGACACTCAGACTAGCAGGAGATGCAAAGTGGAATAGCATCAGCACATCAGGAGGCAGCAAATACATTCAGCTGCAAAGATTTCTTTAGCAGTATACAGAAGTTGAAAGCGAAATTTCAGTCAAAGCTATTAAAATTATGAGGACACAATCATCAGGACAACACTGAAACCAAGGGCAAACTTAAAGGCATGAAAGGAATAAAGGCTGACACTGCTGATGCTACATAAACATCACTAAATTTCTGATTTCAGTTAAAATGCAAACTCAGAAACCTCAGTGACCCTAAACATGACATGAAAAATTCAAACAATACTTAGGTGAATAAAAAACAAAGCAAAAAAAGTGCTAAGAGCAAATGATGCAGTGTGACATCCCAGCAGCTTAGAGGTCAGCAACAATTTAAAAAGATGCAGAGTGTGCCACCTTACTTCAGGGAGAACTCATTGGCACTCATTGCACTCAAATTAAAAACAAATCCTGCAAAACAAAGGCTGAAATTAGAAACTTAAATCAAAGACTGGTACAAAGACACCAAAATAATGCCTGCATCAAATCCAGGTGATTTAAACAAATGCTTAATCACCTCATACTCTTAGTGATAGACAGTATCACTTGAACGAATAGAGTAACTTGATCTCTACGAGTGGACTGACACTTTGAAATTAATATTTGTGCACAGTGACTCCACCAGATAGTCAAAGTGGCCTTTAAGGGAGCCTTGCCCACAATTGACAACATTTTTATGTTGCAATTTAGTTTTACAGTGCAAAGACAACATGAAGAAAGGTATAATCATAATCTTCAAATGCCTGCCAGAAATATCTGGAAAAGTCTAATTAAAATCAGCAATAGTACCTACAGGACACTTACTGACCTCTCCAAGCCTTAGTCCAATCTCTTACTGGAAAAGTGTGATATTAACTGCCTAAAGACAGTACTCGAGCTACTCAGGAACCATCAGAATTTGCAAACTGCTTCATTCTAGCTGAAATGGCAATGTTACATCCCACTTAACATGCCACATCAACAGAAACAGGATATATCCAACTGACTCCTTAACTGAGATAGCTCTACAGTATAAGCAACCAAGAACTGGACACAATCTTCAGTGAATTACAGAAGACCCATGAGATTTCAAAGACATTAAATATGTGACATGCCAGTTTTCATAAGAAGTATTAAAAGAGCAAAACACAAAGCTACACCAAAAAAGAATGCCTATGCACAGCACTCTGGAAAGCCAACTGCTTGAAGAGCAAGTGCCAGAATGGAAACATCCCAACCAAATGACGTTATCATGGAATATTCTGAGCTGGAATGGAACCACTAAGATCATCAAAGTTCAATTCCTGACCCTGCACAGGACAGCCCTCAGAGTCACAGCATGTGCAGGAGAGCACTGCCCAAACACTTCTTGAACTCTGGCAGGCTTTGTGCTGTGCCCACGTCCCTAGGGAGCCTGTAATACACAACCAGGAGGTACTTCACTCCTGTACAGGTCTTCAACAGTATTTTGTAAAGAAGCATGTTTTTATAGAGAATGTATACTGATACCTCTAAGTTTTCTGTTCTGTTCTGCTTGGATGTGCTTTTCCATTGTGCTTGGGTGATGAAGACAAAACAGTCCAATTCCACCTAGGAACTCGAGGACAGTATCTTTAAACTTCAAGCCCTAAGCACAAACAACGTGAAAAGAGGAGGGCGGACACACAAGCAAGCAGGAAAATGAAACTTCCCTATTTGAGACTATTAATTGGACAGTTGACTCCATGCAAATGGACTGAAACCTATAAAGGTGTGAGAACTCGTGACCAACTCCTCCTTTCCTTCCATCTTGGAGCCATCCGGGCAGGGGCCACGACTGTGGCACTTATATTCCTAGGGTGTGGCTTTTGTAGGACTTTCGTGGGCGTCACAATAAATACCCATTTTATTCTCCTTAACACTGTGTGTAGCCTCTGTTCCAGCTCCTCAAGGCATCAATACTGGTGAGACATGAAAAGCAGCAAAAATGTGATTTACAAAAAAATAACAGATTAAATAGACCCTCTCAATTAAACAACACACCCCTCTGTCTTGTAAGATTATTGTTTGCATTTGAGAAGTCTGGCCAGAACTGCAGCTGCTCTCTTAGTTTTCCTCTTCCCCACCTCCCTTCATTGGTCCTGAGCCACATTCCATTTCTATCTGACAAAGACTTCAGCAGATAAAAACCCAAAAACTTCATATTCATCAGATCATAACAAAGTAAGAGTTATGCTATGAATATATTATGGGCACTATACAGAAACAGGAACAATCCAGCTTTCATGCAGCAATTGAGAAAAGGGCTATATACATGCAGACAAAGAAATGGAGTCTGAATTTGTCCTGTCTGGGTACACTCCTTTCAAGCTTTCTGAGCACTAAAGTGCTGCCTCCTTCCATTGTTTCTCAGGACTACACACAAAACACACTTTGGGAGGAAGGAAATGGGTGGTGCTGTGTTCTACAAAGGAGCAAAGAGAAGCTGTGTGAGAAAGCGACTAATATAAGCAACAGGAAGAGGTTAACAGGGAGGGAGAATTATGCATCTGAAGAACAACAAGGGAGGCATGAGAAAGAGGAAAAGCACGTATATGCTGGGAAGAGGAGAAGCAGCAAAGTGCACCCTTTCATAGTCAACAAAGCACTTAAAACATGATTGAGTTGTTGGATCATACTCAAGAGCAATAAATAAATAAGCCATATGAACATGAATTTTGGTAAAGTCTCTGTTATGAGCTTTTCATAAATACAATGACTGACTTGCCAAATGAACTTCACATGGACCAAGGCATAGCACGTAAAATCTCAGGAAGCTCGGTGATTTTGCCAACATTAACTGAACATAAAACAAAATTCATTTATGTTCAGCCTTAATGACAGAAAGACTTCTGTCAGTTTCAGGGCTGTTAGCCTAAACATTGCACTGTACTACTACCTCCTCTCAAGGAGCTACAGGAGACAGAACCCCAGGTTTCCCTGGAAGTTGCATTTCACAGGTTTTCTTTTTCTCCTCTAAGAAGGCACAGACTTTCTCAAAGCACAGTGCCAGAACCTGAATAGAATTCTTCTGCCAAGTTCTCCCCTAATGTTACTTAGAGAGAAATATTCACTTATTTCAAAGGTTCCCCAAGACACATACACTGTTCAGAATGTGTCATCATCAAGGTTAAGAAATAAAACTAAAACAAATTTTTTGAGTAACCAGGAAAACCTAGACTCTGTCCTCTAACCCAAACCAAAATAAGCAAAGGAAACAAAGATTGACAAATTATTATATCGTAGGACGGACAAGAAATATCAAAATGGACAGAAGTCAATCTGAATTACACTTTTTCATTGACACAAAAAGTCAAAGATTCTTCAACTGAATAAATATCTCAAAACAAAAATGAGTCTGCAGTGCCACTATATGGCCAAGAAAGAACAGAGCTCAGGAATAATCCATCTATAGCTATGTACTATAACTACTAGTTTTGAAAGAGCTCGTATTTGATACAACACAGACTGAATAATAAGACCTAGTGAAGCTGTCACATGAGGATCTACACCAGAGGACTGAAGCATTGCAAACATAAGAAATGTGGTGGGGACAAACAAGTCATCAGTCTGACCTAATAAAATCTTGAGAACACATCTCAAAATAGAAAATTGTTTAGAGATCCTGGAGAAAATACAGAAAGGAATAAAATGCAAGTTTCAAATAAAATCAACTACCTACCTGCACGGGAGGGAATAAACCATGTGCTGTAAGACATGGAAGAATCAGTTTGGAGAGGGATTACTGCTGGAGTTCTTGATTATCAGATTATTACTTTAATAACAAACAATAATCACTGTAGCACAAATGGTTAAGACTACAGTGTTGGAAGAGACTGACAACAGATCAGAACATTTTAAGAGGAGAATGTGATGATGAGATAATCACAGTGACAAAACTAGAATAAAATGCAGATCATGCTTCATTTTAAGCAGCATTTTTAGACATCTACATTAAAAGAAAAAAAACAGAAACAACTAAATAAACACAACAAAAACACCCAAGCAAACTGAACAATATGCAGACCACATATAGAAGTTTCCATTCTACTTGTCCCACTTAAGCTTGACTTATTCTGACAGGACAGATAGGAAGAACATATGGCCACTGTAAGGTAAAGGTACAAGAAAGGAGAAGGGAAGAAAGCTGCTCAGCCCAAAGAACATTTAATGTAAAAATCACATACACATATAAACCAGCATATGGAGGCTCATTATCTATTGACAACCAGAGGAATGGATTGGTCTCCCAAGTAAGAAATGCAGCAACAGCAGTATCTCTCCTAGGACTGTCAAACCAGAACAAATCCAGTTCTGCACTGATGTTGGAAGTAGGGCCTCAATGTGGAAGGCTGCTTTTTACCAGTGCAATTTCCTGTATTTTCCTGGACTCTGACCAAAGCCACCAAAGCAGGAAAGACATCCTGGGCCTCACAGCAGACCTTCTGTTAGAAAGCCACAGATCAGAGCATCTTACTTGTTACACAACTCAATAAAATTAGTTAAAAACTACTCATATTTCTCTGGTTATGAGAAAAGCCTCAAAACATATTGAATACAGCAATTTATCTCTGCCACACCTACTGACTGTGGTGCAAGTGGCAAATTCTTCCTGGAACTGTATCAGAAGATAACAACTGTATGTCAAAACAGTTTGATAGTTACTGAGAAAGCATTTTAAACATCACTTCTCCAGTGTAAGTTTCACTGAAAAAAATTACTTTAAATAATGCTGCACTGGTTTCATTTCCAGTGCAGACATCCTAGCTAAAAAAGTGGATGCTGCAATAGTATACATTTTTTTCCTATACATTCACACATATAAAGTGGGGGTTTATATTTA